AAAACAGTAGCAAAGAATGCATAATGAATACACAGAAAAAACTTCCAGCATTGAAAAAGGCTTGGTTGGCCTTTCCTGAGTTTTTATGAATGATTTCTAAGGTTGTTTACTGATGAATTAGACCTGAACTAAAACCACTCTCCACTTGTTTTGTACTCCTGGCAGGAGCAGCATGCCCTTCTCAGGGATGAGTCGGTCCCTTCCAGCCTTCAGAGCTTTACTCTCTGGGCAGCTGTTTTGTATAATGTGTCTTGACTCCCAGCCAATGGGGGGAGAGGAGGGGTTTGCAATTTTTTTTTTACTATGACATAATTCACAAAGCATTAACTCACCCCCTAAAGTGTATAATTCGGTATTTTTAATATATTACAAATTTGTGCAACCATCACCACCGTCCAATTCCAGAACACTTAAATTATCCCCCAAAGAAACTGTGTCCTCATTAGCAGTCATTCCTTTTTTCCCCTCTCACTCAGCTCCTGCAACCACTAATCTCCTTTCTGTCTCTAGGGGTTTGCCCATTCTGGACATTTCATATAAAGAGAACCATACAAGATGTGGACTCTTATGTCTGGCTTCTTTCACTAGCAGAATGTTTCCAAGTTTTATTCATGCCATAGGATGATGATCCATGCTACAGTATTTATTTTATGGACGAATACTGTTCCACTGTATGGATATACCACATTTTGTTTGTCCATTCATCAGCTGGTGAACATTTGGGTCATTTCCATTTTGAGTCAATTATGAATAATGCTGCTATGAACATTTGTGTTCAAGATTTTGTAGGAAGGTATGTTCTTTTTTTTTTTTTTTTTTTTTTTTTTATTTATGATAGTCACAGAGAGAGAGAGGCAGAGACACAGGCAGAGGGAGAAGCAGGCTCCATGCACCGGGAGCCCGACGTGGGATTCGATCCCGGGTCTCCAGGATCGGGCCCTGGGCCAAAGGCAGGCGCCAAACCGCTGTGCCACCCAGGGATCCCCGGAAGGTATGTTCTCTATTCTCTTGGGCATGCCCCTAGGAATAGAATACTGGGTCATCTGGTACCTCTTTAACATTTTGAGGAAGTGGCAAATTGTTTTCCAAAGTGGCTATTCCATTTTACTTTCCCACCAGCAATGGGTCTCAGTGCATGTACGAAGGTTCCAATTATTCCACATCTTCACCAACACAATCTTTCTGATGCAAGCCATCCTAGTAGGCATGAAGTGGTATCTCATACTGGTTTTGATGTGCATTTCCTAATGACTAATAATGTTGAGTATCTTTTTATGTGCTTGCTAGCCATTTGTATCTCTTCTTTGGAGAGATGTCTGTTTAAGTCCTCTGCCTATTTTAAAATTACATTGCCTTTTTATTATTGAGTCATAGGAGCTTCTTATATATTCTAGATACTTGACTCTTACCAGATTTATGATTTGCAAATGTGCTCTCCTATTCTTTTTTTAAGATTTTATTAATTTATTTTAGAGATAGAGTGCACGCATGCATGCACAAGCAGGGGGAGGGGTAAAGGGAGTGGAAGAGGGAAAGAGTCTCAAGCAGACTCCACACTGAGCCCATGTGGGGCGCGATCCCACAACTCTGAGCTCAAGACCTGAGCCAAAACTAAGAGTTAGACGCTTAACCAACTGAGCCACCCAGGTGCCCCTATGTTCTCCTATTCTGTAAATTGTCTTCTCACTTAATAGTTTCCTCTGGTGCACAAAAGCTTTAATTTTTTTATGAAGCTAAATTTGTCTATTTTTTCTTTTGTTGCACTTGATTTTGGTGCCACAGCCAAGAAACCATTACCTAATCCAAGCTCATGAAAATTTCCATTGTTTTCTTCTAAGAGTTTCATAGTTTTAGTTCTTACATTTACATCTTTGGTCCATTTTGAGGTAAATTTTGCATAGGGTATGAGGTAGGGGGTCCAAATTTACTCATTTGGGAGATCCCTGGATGGCTCAGTGGTTAAGCATCTGCCTTTGGCCCAGGGTGTAGTCCTGGAGTTCTGGGATAGAGTCCCACATTGGGCTCCCTGCATGGAGCCTGCTTCTCTCTCTGCCTATGTCTCTGCCTCTCTCTTTCTGTGTGTGTCTCTCATGAATAAATAAATAAAATCTTTAAAAAAAAAAAACAAATTTACTCATTTGTATGTAGATGTCTAGTTATCCTATCATCATTCTCCCCATTGAAAAGACTTGGTACCCTTATTAAAAATCAATTGACTGGTGGCTCAGTTGATTAAACATTTGGCTTTGGCTCAAGCCATGATCCTGGGGTCCTAGGATGATAGAGTCCCTCTATCAGGCTCTCTGTTCAGCTAGGAGCCTATTTCTCCCTTTCCCTCTGCCTGCAGCTCCCCCTGCTTGTGCCTCTCTTTCTCCCTCTCAAATAAATAAATAAAATCTTAAAAAAAAAAAAAAAACATCAGTTGGCCATACATGTATGGGCTTTATTTCTGGACTATCAATTCTATTCCATGGATTTGTATGTCTATTCTGATGTCAGCACCACACTGACCTGACTACTACAGCTTTGTACTAGGTTTTAAACTCAGGAAGTGTTAAGTCTCTCACCTTTGTAATTTCTTTTTAAGATTGTTTTCATTATTCTGAGTCCCTTGCATTTCCATATAAATTTTAGGATCTACTTGTCTATTTATGGGGGGGGAGGGTAATTAGAATGATACTAGTCAGTTTTTTCTTGATAATTTGAGGGGCACCTGGGTGGCTCAGTGGTTGAGCATCTGCCTTTGGCCTAGGGTGTGATCCCAGGGTCCCAGGATTGAGTCCCACATCAGGCTCCCTACAGCAAGCCTGCTTCTCTCTCTGCCTGTGTCTCTGCCTCTCTCTCTGTGTCTCGCATGAAAAAATAAAATCTTAAAAAAAAAAGCCTCTCTTAGAGGGTTTGTAGGGACACAGGGAAGGACTAGCCCCACAAAAGCCCCAGGGCTCTGCTTTGACAGCTAAGCACTCTAATGTGTAAGCGAAGTCAATAAATAAAAGCAATTTTTAATCTTAAAAAACACTAAATGGTCCAGTGTAAAAGTCTCAGAGAACTCCACATTTCTACTATTCCTGCTTGGCACTTCTGTCCTCCTCATAGGTCATGCATAAGTTTTTATTTTCTATAGCTGCATTGTTCTGAATGTCCTGGGCAGGGATTCCTAACAAATTAAAGAAGCTTTTTGCTTCTCTCCTTTAAGGGCAGTGGGGTGTGTGTGTGTGTGTGTGTGTGTCAGATGATTTATACAAAGCTTCTGATTTTCCCTTCTGCTTACGGAATAAGGAAGCAGTCCTGTAGGCTCCTGTAAGTCTGACAAGAGACCTAATAGAATTCTGTGGCAGATACTTTTGTACTTGTGGAGTTTTTGAGACTCCTTCCTGCTGTTTATGGCATTGTAACATATACGGCTGCATTTTAGGGCATTTTTGCCAGGTTTCTCAGTTTCCCTGGCCTTTGAGTGGTAAAGTATACCTGATACAAGAGATAGATACCCTTTGGGGGGGGGGGTCCTGCCTGGCTTGTATCCCTGAGAATGGCTCCCTGGCCTCTGTGTGAATTCTACAGCAATAGTCCATGAAAAAGGATGACCAGTCAAAATCTTTCTGGAATCTGGGACCCATCCAGACTGAGTCAGTCAATGGCAGGTACACGGACTTGTATGGATACGTCAAATGAGTATGTGTGGGCCAAAGTCTGGAGAGAGACAACTTGAATAAGCAGAGACCGCAGGTTTAGGGGAATGCCATAAAGAGGAGGAAGAAAGGGGAAGGGCAGTCATCCATGTCCTCTGTCCCCATGAGTCCCAGTTGGGCCTGCATCAGTGACAAGGCCCAGCACAGAGGCATCGACTGAACCTGATTTGACATCAGTCCAGCTTCTCAAACTTTGCCTCCTAAGTGAATTGGGACCCAGGAGGATGAACATGAATCCAGGGGCATTTGCCATATCTGGAGGACATTTTGTCAAGTATCTTACTTCTATAAATAAATAAATAAATAAAATCGGGGAGGATTTTATTCTAGAATAGATCTATACTTAATAAAAAGTGTTTTCTTACAAGGACTTGTTGAGCTAAGACAGGGCCATGCAACCCTGTGGATTCCGAATCTCTGATGTACTACTACTGGCCCTAGTCTGAGGAACAGGGAATTTGTCCAGATGTCTGATCTTGCAGGTCAGAAGCATGAAACCCAAAGAAGAAAAGCGCTTTTTTCTCCATTTTATGTCTTCCAATCCGAGAAACATAAGGGCGGGAGTGAAGATTAAGAGACTGAATATGAGTAAGTGATTAGCCGGGTGCCTTAAAAAACGAGCCCAGTGATGAGCACTGGGTGTTATGCTATATATATGTTGGCAAACCGAACCCCGATAAAAAAAATACATACCAAAAAAAACACCAAAAAACAAAAAAAAGTGCCCAGTGAGGAATAAACGGGCGCTTTCTGCCCGCCCCCCGCGCCCCGCCCCGCGCGCCTCGCCCCGCCCCGCCCCGCGCGCCCCGCCCCGCCCCGTCCGCGCCTCGCCCCGCCTCGCCCCGCCCCCGCCCCGCGCGCACCGCACCGCCCCGTCCGCGCGCCCCGCACCGCCCCGCCCCGCGCGCCCCGCACCGCCCCGCGCGCCCCGCCCCGCCTCGCCCGCGCGCACCGCACCGCCCCGCGCGCACCGCACCGCCCCCGCGCGCACCGCCCCGCCCCGTCCGCGCCTCGCCCCGCCTCGCCCCGCCCCGCCCCGCGCGCACCGCACCGCCCCGCCGCGCGCCCCCGCCCCCCCCCCGCCCCGCGCGCCCCGCCCCGCACCGCGCGCCCCGCCCCCGCCCCGCCGCGCGCCCCGCCCCCGCCCCGCGCGCCTCGCCCCGCCCCGTCCGCGCCTCGCCCCGCCCCGCCCCGCGCGCCCCGCCCCGCCTCGTCCGCGCGCACCGCACCGCCCCGCGCGCACCGCACCGCCCACGCTCCTGCTTCCCCGGGCCGCGCCCGGCAGCCGCTCGCGCCGCCAATCCGGTAACCGCCCCCCGCCGGGCCCCGGCAGCCCCTCCGGCCCCTGGGGCCCAGGCCGGCCGATCCCGAGCGGGGCGCCGCTCGCTCGCTCGCCGCGGTGACCGCGCCAGGCCGGCGGGCGCCCCCTTGGCCTAGCCAGCCCCGCGCACGAGCCGGCGCCTGGGCCCCTGGCCGCCTCCGCTTCCCGCGGCCGCGCGCGGCGCTCTGCCCGGGGGAGCGGTAGGGGTTAATCTGCGCTGCTGAACTTGTCGCGGTTGACCTCGCGTGGCCGCGTCAGCCTCGCCGGCCCCTTCTGCCCGCTCCAGCTGCGGCGCCCTGCTCGGACTTGGAGGAACCGGAGGCTCGAGGGTTTTCCAGGCTTCGCGCCTCCTGTAGGGTTTCGGCAGGGCCCGCAGAGGCGGAAACTGTTTTCAGAAGCTGGGAGTGCGCCTTGTCCTGGAGGCCTTATCAGAACCTCCTTGCCTGACCCAGGGCCTGGTGGGTGACTGGGAGGACCTCCTTGACAGGGTGACAGGGGCCTGCCTTGAGCCTGCTGGGGCCACCACCCCCAGGGGCGCTGTCCATGATCAGTTGCCAGGGACTCAGCCCTTGGGGGTCCAAGTCCCTGCCCTGCCCCCAGCTTTATCAGAAAATTTCTTCACCTCGCTGGGTCCTTCCCGAAATGTTTCCTGGCCTTGGGGCTTTAAAACCAGAGCTCCTGAATTCACCCAGAGAAAGGTATTCAGAGCTCAAGCTCAGCTCAGACATGGCACCTGGCTCCTGGGTACCTAACTGATGCGGCATTGTGACCAGAGTTAGACCTTGGGTGCCCTTGGACACTCGCCCTTCCCACAACCCCAGAGAGTCCTGAGTCCCCACAGGGCCAGTTAGCCTTGGCTAGACAGTACTAAGGGTACTTGCCAGCACTTCTAACTACTCCAGAATTAGGCTGAGAGGTAGGGCACTGGTTTTTAATGAAGATGACTGGGCCATTCTAGTTTGCCCGGAGGAGTTTCTTGGGACATGAGACTTTCAGCTTTGAAACTAGGAAGGTCCTGGGGAAAGTGGGACAAGTTTGTTACTGTATTTTTAACCCTGGCTGCACAATAGCTTCATACATGGAGCCTCTCATCTAGAGGGTCTAACCTGATTGATCCAGGGAGGGTCTCAGATAGGAATATTTCTTTTAAAGCTCCCAAGTTGATTCCAACAAGCTATCAGAGTGAGGAACTACTCGATTATAACCTAGGCAACATTGCTGTATAACCACTGAAGGTGGTTACTTTTTGGGCATAAGTGGACGGAGGTGTCTCTCAAAAGGGTGTATAGCCAACTGTAGTGGTCCTCTCCTTAACAAGAGGACTATCAGAATGGCAGTGGCCTTATTGCTATGGTCTTTTCCCAGTTCCCTTATTGCTCGACAGCAAGGATCAAACTTTCTCCTTTCCTGGCATGACTTGGTACCTCCTCTCCCAAGGTCCATGGATTTGCCTCATGTCGACTGGAGAGGTCATGATTTGGACAGTCTCAGATGAAGCTGTCATGAGACTTGACAGGGATCCAGTCTCTTGGGCGGGGATGCTTACACCTATGAGTGGTGGTCTGGGAGCTAGCTGAAAGTGCTGTGTATACTTCAGCTTCTTCCTGTGGGACTGTTCCCTCTGCAGGCTGCCAGGATCATGTGGTATGTCAGCACTCGGGGGATGGCCCCACGGGTCAACTTTGAGGGGGCTCTCTTCTCTGGCTATGCTTCCGATGGGGGTCTCTTCATGCCCGAGGAGCTCCCACAGCTGGGCATAGAGACCCTGCATCAGTGGAGTGCGCTCTCCTACCCCAGCCTGGTGAAGGAGCTGTGCACCCTCTTCATTGGTCCTGAGCTCATTCCAAAAGAAGTCTTAAATGGTGAGCATCCCCCAGCCTCCCTTCTCTCCCACCTCACTCCACTGCCAGGCCAGCACCCCCACAGAGCTGCAAATCCATCACTTAACCCCTAGGCGGTTTCTAGTCCTATTTCCCAAACCTTGGAGTTTTTTCCCCCCAGATTCTAGAACCCCAGAAATGTAAATATCCCCAAAGAGTTCATCCATTCCACCTTCTATCTTCAATGAGATGAATGCCATGGTGGTCTGCAGACAATGTTTCTCAAAAACCTCTTCAAGACCAGAGATTTCACCAACATCCTGAGATGCTTGAATGTTGGGATATTTCCTACCTGTACATAAAGCACCTGGGCCTTTAGATAGCTGTTCTGTTTCATTGAATGGTAATTTTGGAAGGGACCTTGAGAGTGTCCTGGACCAAACTATCCTCTCAAACTAGAATGTACCCATGGACTCCTCTGGGGATCCTGGTTTTTTTGTTTTGTTTTGTTTTTTTAAAGATTTCATTTATTTGAGAGAGAAGGAACAGGGAGAGGGGCAGAGGGAGAGGGAGAAGCAGGCTAGATCCTGGGACTCCAGGATCATGACCTGAGCCCAAGGCAAATGCTCAACTGGCTAAGCCATCCAGGTGCCCTGGAGATCCTGTTAAAATACAGATTCTGGTTCAGTAGGTCTAGGGTGCACCTGAAAATTCTGCATTCCTAGCAAGTGTCCATGGGCTGCTGGTCTATAGGCCAAATGTGAAATAATCCACAATGCGATGTTGAGAGTTTAGGGCTGGAAAGAAGGGGACCACTCAAGAATGTGGTCTGATAGCACTGATGGCATTGCCTGGGCACTTACTAGAATTCTCAGACTTCTTCAGACCTACTGCACTAGAATCTGCATTTTAAGATCCCCGGTGATTGGTCTGTCAATTAAGGTTTGAGGAGCACCACCTAAGATGACCTGCCTTAGATAGGATTATATGTAAACCATCCCAAGGTTCTGGTATCACAGGTGTGAAATTTAGTAAAGCAAAAACAAACAACGTCTGGTCTTTAGGAAGGAGCATTAGAAGAGATGAGACACTGATTTGTTTGTTTCACAATTGTTGAATTGAACCTCTGCTGACCTACATGCACATGAGAAATCCTAATGATAAAGTTTATAAAGTAGAAAATGGAAGTCTTTTTTTTATAAATATTTTTTTAATTATTTATTTATGATAGTCACACACACAGAGAGAGAGGCGGGGGGGCAGAGGGAGAAGCAGGCTCCATGCACCGGGAGCCCGATGTGGGATTCAATCCCGGGTCTCCAGGATTGCGCCCTGGGCCAAGGGCAGGGGCTAAACCGCTGCGCCACCCAGGGATCCCAGAAAATGGGAGTCTTACAGCACAATTTCTCTTCTCTAGGGAGCATCTCTGTGAGGAATCTATGAACAGTGTTGTTCATGTCTTTTCAGACTTTTTTCTAGGATTATGTAATTATACTCCTATGCAGTCTCATTTGGGATAAATGTTTCTGGTCTCTTATCTGGTAGCAGGAGATAGAAACTTCAAATTCAAAAGTGTAAAGAAGTGGGGGGGGGGGAGAAACTGAGGAAGAGATAATGCCCTTCCTCCACTGTCCAACCCCTCTCCCCTCACAGATCTGATCGACCGGGCCTTTAGCAGATTCCGCCACAGAGAGGTGGTCCATCTGTCCAGGTTGAGGAATGGGCTGAACGTGTTGGAGCTGTGGCATGGGGCCACGTATGCGTTTAAGGACCTGTCCCTCTGCTGTACAGCACAGTTCTTGCAGTACTTCCTGGAGAAGAAGGAGAAGCACATCACTGTGGTTGTAGGTGTGTGTTGCGGGCGCGAGGGCCGGAGCCCCTGAGGTGCCTCACTTGCTAGTATTCATCCATAGGATGCCCTGCATTGATATATCTCAAGGAGTTTGTATTACGGGTTCTTCTAGAGCAGGATTTGTAATCTTTTCCTGTGCCACGGACCCCTTAGACAGTCCGGTGGAGACTACGGAACCTTCTCAGAGTAGTATTTTAAGTACACAAATTGTATAAGGTTATCTGATACCAAGTCTACACAGATTCCTTGATTTCTGTCCCAGGATCTCTAGGAAGTTCATGGACCCCAGATTAAGTACTAGATTCCAACTCTTCAGGTATTTGAATTAGACATTGCCGCATGTGGCAGGAATGCTTTGGGGGCTATTTCTTTCCTTTTCCATCTACCTTGATCTAAAGAGGAGGGTTATTTTTTCTTCATACCCAGGAACATCTGGGGACACAGGGAGTGCTGCCATTGAGAGTGTTCAAGGGGCAAAGAACATAGACATCATCGTTCTGCTGCCCAAGGGTCACTGCACAAAGATTCAAGAGCTCCAGATGACCACAGTGCTGAGGGAGAATGTCCATGTGTTTGGGGGTGAGTGCTGGGATGGAGGCTCCAGGTAAAGCATGGCCACCTTGAATGGGTCTATTTTGGGAAATGGGCTGGAATACAACTAGTCAGGTGATTAGTTGACCATCCTTCCTCTTTTTTCTCTGTCCCTCCCTTTCTTCATCAGTCATGAGGTTGGTATATGCCTTGGCTCAGTTCTAGACAAGCTCTTGGCAACACAGTTTTATAAGCTATCAGAGATGACAAGTGCATAAACAGGTACTGACAGTAGGACCCAAGAAGTGTAGGTTGAAAACCATACCCCAAAGAGTGCCACCTCTACGTAAGTTCAGCCTACTGGTGCCATGTATACAGGCAGCCACCAGACCCATAGCCTGAGCCAAGTGCCTTGGGTTTTGTTCCAGGGCATTGAACTTTAGAGAGCACAAACATGTTAAATAACTATATTAAAAGAATGTCCTTACATGTTAACAGCTCATGCCCTCCCTTATAGGATAGAAACAAGTAAGTCATGCATTTGGTTAGTAGTCTAGGAAACTACTCGGTAGTATCCATTTTTGGAGATACCTCTTCCTGGGCCACATCATAAATTTTGCCATGTTGTACTTGCAGAAGAGCAAAAGGAGCAAAAGAATATCTCCTTTAATATCAACATCTATTCTGTAGAAATCAACTGTAAAAGGGCAGGATGAGCTTGAGTGGAGCTGTCCATCTTATTTCCACTTTTCGCACCTAGCTAGACCCCAGGTAGCCACAAAGTAGGGGTGGGGGATATGAGGAGTAGGGGGTCTTAGTGAGGTTTTGTAGACTGTGGCCTTGGGAAAGCTGTCCAGGAGGCCTGGCTTGGTTTGATCACTCACTTAGCAGGAGAGCAAATGTGATGGCAAAAGATATTCCTCCCCCAACTCACCTGGCCTTCTGGTGTAATCCCATAGGGGATGTTTTCATATAACACCGGTTTTGTCAAGGAGCAAAAGCATAGTGCAAAGAAACCTTACCCGTAGGAGTAGCATGAAGATCCTTTGTCGAGGTGTTCAAAAGTAAGCAAAAAGCCCTTCTCTTTTCTTTAGCAAGCACATACACATTCCAATGAAAATTTCTGGGTTTAGCTAATGCAGATGTTGGAAAATCTTACACATTAGCATTGGTGGTTGCCCATATTTGGCTGCATTTTCCTGCACTCATTGCAAAATTTTGATATATGATAATCTGGGCTCCCAAGGGTCCCTATTATACCCTAAGCACTATAATTGCTAGTTATGGAGGTAGAACTATCTTTGCCTAGAAACAAAGCAAAGAATAACATTCTGTACCTCTATTCTGCCAGAGGAGTACCAAGGATGTACTCCTTCCTTGCCTTATAGCAGATATTGGAAGGCTTTTACCTCAGAGCTTATATGTAAGCTTGGTTCCTGACCACAGAGTGGAGAACGGTGCATTTGTAAAATAGTAGTAGAAATGTGGATGATGATGAGTGCAACATGTCGTAAATGTAGAGCCCATGAGGCATTTCTGTTTTGCACATGTTCTGAGCTTCAAGAACTAATAATACAGCAGACTTTAAAGAAATTAATTTTTGTTTCTAAATAACACTGTTCAGGTCCTTCCTTTCCTTTCTGGAATCTTCTGATTTGGTTTCTAGGAGGATGTGTGTTCGTTCCAGAGCTGAGTGGTTATGTTTTTTTCTCTTAGACTAGGGAGCCCAGGGAGTAGGGAAGGGCCACCTGGATTGTTGTGTGTTGGACACTGATGTTTTTTAAAGTCATCATTTTCCATATATATTTTATACTTGGTTCTTCTTAAGTGCAAAATAATCAGCAGGTGCTAGTTATAGATTATTTGGGATATTTTTGGCTGGAAGTAACAGAAAATCTAAGTCAGACCAACTTGAGCAAGAATATTTTCCAGCTTATGTAAGTGAATGTCTAGAGGTGAAATAGGTTCCAAACAGCTGATTTAGCGACTCAACTGTCTGTCAGTGGGGACCCAGGTTCTTTGCATTCTCTGCTCTGCCTTCCCCAATCCTAAGGCTCATTTCCCTTTTGGCATGTGATGCTTACTTAATGTAACTAAGTCTCTCCTCCTGTGGCTCCATCTTAAGAGCAGTGAATCTTTTCCTAGAACCCCAGCGACATCCCACTGGCGTGTGGGTAGATCTAGAGTCAGCCCCCTGGCCTCATTGCTGCTATACAGTGGAATGAATAACAACCTTGATGCCTATTCTGGCACTTCCTGCAGTAAATCTTACCCCTCACCTTCAAGTTTGGATCTGGTGGAGAAATAAACCCAGGTTCCAGATAAGAGATCAATATTGGCTTGATTGCTCATTGAGTAGGATTGAGAAGCACAACTTGGACTCATAGCCAACTCACCATAAATTTCCCCAGTAATTCATCCTTAAATTAAATTGTGTCCACACCCAGTTCGGGGAGGAAAGGTCCATGCCAGCTTACCTACCACATGGAGCAGAGAGCAGAATGCCTCTCTGTGATCTGAGAGAAAGGCAGAGCATATGGGAACAATAACTCTACCCCCAAGCCCCGGTGGAGGACCATGGGGTAAAGAAGGGATCAGCCTCTTGCCACCTCATAGCCTCAGAAACCATCTCTCCTTCTTCCTGGAGAGTAGGGCAGGTGGGCAAGGGCTCCAAGGAAGAGTTCTTTTAAAAAAAAAAAAAAAAAAAAAAAAAAAAGATTTATTTATTTATTTATTTATTTATTTATTTATTTATTTATTTATTTATTTATGATAGACATAGAGAGAGAGAGAGAGAGAGGCAGAGACACAGGAGGAGGGAGAAGCAGGCTCCATGCCGGGAGCCCGACGTGGGACTCGATCCTGGGACTCCAGGATCGTGCCCTGGGACAAAGGCAGGTGCTAAACTGCTGAGCCACCCAGGGATCCCCCAAGGAAGAGTTCTTTTCCCAATATCCCACCTAGGAGGTTGATCATTTATGTCTAATTTCTTATAATGGTAGAAATGTTGGAAGTATGACCACAGGAATATGAGACGTTTCTTTCCTTGAGTTGCTTAATTTTTTTTTAAGATTTTATTTATTCATGAGAGACACAAAGAGAGGCAGAGACACAGGTAGAGGCAGAAGCAGGCTCCCTAGAGGGAGCCTGATGTGGGACTCAATCCCAGGACCCAGAGATCGAACCCTGAGCCAAAGGCAGATGCTCAAACACTGAGCCACCTAGGCACCCTGAGTTGCTTAATTTTGAGTCTAGAAACCAGGCCAAGACCTGGGAGAGCAGAAACTAAAGCCAAGTGAAGGTCCCAGCTGGATGGGCCCAGTGTGGTAGGGCCTTGTTGTAGGCAAGTACTGGCGACATGGGGGTTCTTCATGCTTCTGACAGCTACCCTCTGCTCTCTCCCCTGACAGTGGAGGGCAACAGCGATGAGCTTGATGAGCCCATCAAGGCCGTGTTTGCCGACGTGGCTTTTGTCAAGAAGCACAATCTGATGAGTCTGAATTCAATCAACTGGGCCCGGGTCCTTGTGCAAATGGCCCATCACTTCTTTGCATATTTCCGGTGTGCACCATCCTTAGACACATGCCCCCTGCCCCCCGTGGAGGTGGTTGTGCCAACAGGGGCTGCTGGTAACCTTGCAGGTAAGGAGACCCCTGGGCAGAAATGGCCTTTCCAGAAAAATGCCTGTGACCCTAGTTCTTCCAGCTGCCCTTTGGCTACAACTGGGAGGAGAAAGTTCGAGTCCTCGCGCTGAAGGTGACAGGCAACCACACAGAAGGAGTCCGTAGCAAACCTCCCCTGAAGTCCCTGGGAGGGACATCCCAGCCTTTTGCTGCAGCAGGGAAGGATGGGCTAACCCCACTCAGGAGAGTGTGGAGAGATGAGGTTAAGGTTCAACCTTAACCTTCTGGTTAAGGCACTGGCACTCCCCACCTCCAGATATCCGGACTTTACCCCCAGCCTCAGCCAGCTGCCTAGTATGAGGGCAACTGGCACAACATGTTCCCACTCCTAGAATACTACCCAGAGACCATGTAAGGTGGAAAGAGGTGTGGACTTAGGGTTCTGGCCCCAGCTGAATGGCCATGGAGCAGTCCCTTAGATTCAGCTGCTCGGCTGTAAAAGCAATATTGGATAGCTTATCATATCTCTCAGGGCTACCGTGAAATGCAAGTGAGATCCTTCATGTGTGTACTTGAACTTTGTAAGGGTGAAGTGCTGTGCTGCTGCGTGGCAGTAAAATCATCTTAAATAATAATAATAAACATTTATCCAGCACTTACTGGGCATCAGGCAGCCCTCTAAGTGCTTTTCACATATCAACTTATTTGATCCTCACGTGCACCTATGAGGATGGTACTCCCATCCCTGCTTTATAATGAGGAAGCGGAGACAGCTAAGTTAGCCAGCTTGTCCCTGCTTACACACGGGTCATGGCAGAGCCAGAATCACCACCTCCAGAGCCTGCATCCTCTTGAGCTTGCTAGGCTGCATCCTAACGGGCACCACTGTTTCTGATGGTTCTGTCGGCAGCATTGTTTCTGATGGGTGCCAAAGGTGGCTTCAGTGAGACCGGGAAAGCATCCTAGCAGTCAGGAGGCTTCCTGACTTCTTCCACTACCATGGGGGTGAGAAGAATGGCACTGGCGGTTAGGCAAGGATAGCTCATCTTCATTGGGGGAGAAAAACACACTGGGCTCCCCATTTGCATGAATGGTGCTGCCTGCACGTGTCCTGGTGCCTACCACAGTGGTGGGCACAAAACGAACACTTGCAGAGAGTGTTCCTATCGATAACTGCTCCATCAGGAACTAGCTGTTTAAATTTAAGCCCCTGGGCCCTTTTGAACATCTATATCTCCTCTGCCATACACCAATAGCATGGGGTTTACAGGCGGATCAAGGGAAGTAAGAATGTGAAAGTGCTTTGCAAAATTCAGAGTGATGTTGGGGTGATGTGGTGATTCCCTAACTCCTCTTAATGACCCTCCACAGATGAACCATTCATGAAGTATGTAAAACCTTCCTTAGATGACTACCTTTTAGGACTCTCTCCCTCTCTCAGGGTGAGGAATTCCTTCTTTGTTCCATGCAAACAGAAACTGCTGGCAGGGTGGGCCGAGGGCACTGCTCTGTCCTTCTCCATGGGGACTCTCCAGGAGGTGCGGTCTATCTGAAGGCGCTGCTTCTAGGAGGCTGAGTCAGGGTCAAGAGCATGTGCCACTCAGCAGGGAACCTTCATTTTCTCTTCTGCAAGTGGTAGCAGGCATGTGTGCCTGGTGTGTGTGTGAGAGAGACTGCTTTATTGTTATATGATTCACATACTATACACTTCACCCGTTTAAAGTATACAACTGAACAGTCTTTAGTATATGTGCAGATTTGTGCAGCCACCCGCACAGTCAATCTCAGAACATTTCATCACCTTGGAAAGGAACCCTGTTCCTGTTAGTGGTTACTCCCCGATTCCCCTCATTCCCCCAGCTCCAGGCAACCACTGATCTGTTTTGTCTCTATCGATTTGCCTGTTCTGGACATTTTATACAAATGGAATCGTGCAACTTGGGTCCTTTTGTGTCTACCTTTTTTCACTTTATATGTTTTCAAGTTTCATCAATATTATAACATGTATGAATACTTTTTTCCTTTTCATGGCTGAATAATATTCCACTGTGCACGTATACCACATTTTGTGTATCCATTTATCCATTATTGGACATTTGGGTTGCTTCAGTTTTATAACTATTATGAATAATGCTGCTATAAACATTGGTATGTAGGTTTTTGTGCGTTCCTGTATTTTCCCTTCTCTTGAGCATATATACCTACAAGTGGAATTTCTGGGTCACATGGTAACTCTAGGTTTAACTTTTTGAGGAACTGTCAGACTTTTCCAAGGCAGCTGCACCATTTTAAATTTCCACCAGCAACATATGAGTGTTCCAGTTTCTCCACATCCCACCAATGCTTTGATTCTAGCCATCCTAATGGACATGCAATGGTATGTCCTTGTGACTTTGGTTTGTGTTTTCCTTAAGTTGAGTATCTTTTATGTTCTCACTGGCCATGTGTATATCTTTTGGAGAAATGTTTGTCCAAGTCTTTTTTGCCCAATTTTAAATTGAGCTACTAGTATTTTTATTGTTGATTTGTAAGAGTTATCTGCATATTCTGTATCCTTAATCAGATATACAATCTGCAAATATTTTTTCCCATTCTGTGAGCTGCCTTTTCATTTTCTAGATAGTGTCTTTGAAGCACAAGTCTTCAAAATCTTCAAAAAGCACAAAAGTTTCTTAATTTTGATGAAGTCTGGTATATCTAAATCTCGTCTATTTCTTGTACTTGGGGTATCATGTCTGAGAAAACTTTGTTCTTCTCCCTTCTTGTCTTAAGCTGGGTGCATTGCTCAGAAGATGGGCCTGCCCATCCGCCTGGTCGCAGCAGTGAACCACAATGACATCATCCACAGGACTGTGCAGCAGGGAGACTTCTCTCTGTCTGCGGCCATTGAACCAACCTTGGCCTCAGCTATGGACATTCAGGTAGGACCTGTGGGAAAGTGTGCACCTGGTCCAGGTGTTGATTGAGTGGGCATGGTCAAGAACGGACATCAGTGTGGCCCCTGGCCTTCCTGCCTTCCTGCCCAGGTGCCCTACAACATGGAGAGGATCTTCTGGCTGCTATCTGGCTCTGACAGCCAGGGGACAAGAACCCTCATGGAGCAGTTTGAAAGGACCCAAAGCATGAGTCTACCCAAGGAACTGCACAGCAAGGTCAGTCACCTCACCATTCATGCATCACAGAGAAGGTGAAGGGTGTAGCCATGAAACCCAACAGTGATTTAAAAATCTGTCTAAGGTAAGAGGGTACCTGTTTCTTGAGCACCTGTTATGAGCCAGGTACTTTTGCAGTCACTTTCTGTGAATTAATTTAGTGAATGAGGAGAGGTAGTAGAAAGCATTGGTTTAGAGTCAGACAGGGCTTGGCTCTAAGCTGGCTGTGAGAACTTGGGCCCGTTTCTTAAACTCTGTGCCTCAATTTCCTCATAAGTGAAGCGGGACTAATGAGAATGCCTATCATTGTTGAAGATTTAAGTCAAATAATACCCATGAAACACTTTGTATACTGCCTGGTAATTCAGGGCTTGATACATTGACTATTATTATTATTTTTATTTATTATTGTTGATTTTCAGCAGTAGCAACAATTGGAAGCTACTTTGCCCAACTGGTATGAACAGAGACATCTGTCCTCTTGAGTTTCTTTCTTTCTTTCTTTCTTTCTTTCTTTCTTTCTTTCTTTCTTTCTTTCCTTCTTTCTTTCTTTCTTTCTTTCTTTCAGGAAAAGGAGTAATTTTATTTCTTCAGAGTGGTAGGAATCTAGTTAAGAAGGATTGCTTTTATTTAATTTGTTTATTAGTTTTTTTGAGAGGGAGAGAGTGTGTGTGAGTGGACAGGGGCAGGGGGAAGGAGAGACAGAGGGAGAGAGAGAATCTTAAGCAGGCTCCATGCTCAGCACAGAGGCTAATGTGGGGCTTGATCTCACAACCCTGAGATCATGACCTGAGCCAAAATCAAGAGTTGGACACTTAACTGATTGATCCACCCAGGTGCCCCGATTACTTTTATTTTAATGCAACTTGGTGATGGTCCACTTATTTTACATTAAGAAAAAGGATTTCATATGTTGATGTTGTCTTTAATTTTCTCTACCACATCCCATCAACTCATCCAGACTGTATGTCCAGTGACCAGGACCTCACTACCTCACACCAGCTCTCATCATTACGAGGTTCTGTATGCTGAGCTGGGGTCTCCTCCTTCGCACCTGTGCCCTGGGGAATAGTGTGATTCCCATATTCCAAGAGAATCTTCGTTTCTCTGTTGAGTCTTTCCAGTTCCTTTAGCAGTCCCTTATATGACCAAATTTTACACAGTCAATGACTGTCTTCAAGGGTTGTTCCCAGAACTAGATATAGTTCTCTGGGCTTAGCTACCACCCATGCAGACCACAGTGGAATTTCAGTGTTCCCTGTGATGTCACCTGTCTTAACTTGGGCCACTATCACAGAGTACCAGAGACTGGGTGGCTTATAAACAACAGACATTAATCTCTCTCAGTTCTGGATGCCAGAAGCCCGAGATCAGGGTGCCAGCCTGGTTGGGTTCTGGTGGGAGCAACTTCCATAGAAGTGGCAGACTGCCAGTGTTTCCTCATAGCTTCACATGGTGGAAAGATATTTAGCAAGCTCTCTGGCCTCTTCTTATAAAGACACTAATTCCATTCATGATGGCTCCACCCTCCTGACCTAGTTACCTCCCCAAAGTCCCACCTTCAGATACCATCACATTGGGATTAAATTTTTCACATATGAATTTGGGTTTGGGGGGCAGAGAACACAAACATTCAGACCATACCACAACCAAAGATCAGCTTTTTTGGTTAATGGTTTGTTTCAATCCCGCATTCCTTCTCATGTAAATGAGGTGCTCCAGGGAAACAGACACCAGATCCCACACTGCTTCATTCCCTCCCTGGATGTACACATACAAGACTTTCCACCTGCTGGAACAGCCATCACTCATTCCTTCATTCCTGTATCCCCTGTAAGCTAAGAACTGTGCTAGGTGCTGGAGATACAAAGATAGAACACATTCTTTGTCTTCTGTGAACCCACATCAATAGCACACAATAAATTTTCAAAGAATGATCAGATCAACCCTCCACACTGAGGGGCCAGTGAGAAGGGAGTCTTCCTCTGTCTGAGGATTGGGGGAGGCTTCCTGGAGGAGGTGTGACCTGGGCTGGGGAGGTGTTCTTGCACCCACCGGAAGGGGATACACCGATGACAAAGCATCAGAAATGTCTGAGTCCCCATAACCTCCTGTGTTGTGTCCTTTTGTGGAACAAGACTATATGCTAATTTGCTGATTCATGAGCTAATCCTAACTGAATTTATTGACCTGAAACTCAGACGATCCTTCCCCCAAGCTGAGTGAATCAACTTAAAACTGGGAAACATAGGGAGCTAGATTTTTCTCTGAGCTAAAGCTGAGCTCTTTGAAGATACCATCTGAATCTCTGGTGTTGCCTGCCTATGTTATATAGTGAGTTTTTAGTCACTTTCCCTGGGTTTCCCCTGGCCCTGATTCCCACCCCTCTGATCCTGGGACCTGTCAGCTTTCAGGGGCAATGACGTCTGAGTCCATGTCGGATGAGGCCATCACCTGGACCATGAGTCGCTGTTGGGAAGAGAACCAGTACTTGCTGTGCCCTCACTCAGCTGTGGCTGTGGGTTACCATTATCAGCAGACGGATAGGCAGCAGCCCAGGTATGGGCCACAGGCGCCTGGGTCACTGGGATACTCTGGCTTTCAAGGGCCCTCCTCTTCCCCAAGCAAGGGAGACAGGAATCTGCATGAATGGCTTTCATGGGCTTGACTGGTGCTGTGTGGAACTGTGCCCTGAGAACTGTGGTCCTGGAGGAGGGTGTGTGATCAATGTTTGGGGATGGTCACTGTGAGGTAGTGGGTGAACTGGGTCTCCAGCAAAGAGGAGCAGTTTTCCTGGCAGTGTCATTGTAGAGAGGGGTTGAAAGTACCCAACATCTGCCTCTTTCTCTCCCTTCCTTTCCTCTCTGTGCACCACCCTATCCCTACCTCCCCTGTTCCTTCATCTCCTCCCTCCTTGCCTTCTCCTTTCCATATCTGTCCCTCTGTTCTCTCGCCTGCCCTCCTGTTGCCACCTGCACCACCCCACAGCTTTCCCCGGTGCTGTCTGGCCCCCGCCTCTGCAGCCAAGTTCCCAGAAGCTGTCCTGGCAGCCGGGCTGACCCCAGAGACCCCTGCAGAGATCCTAGCTCTGGAGCTCAAGGAGACGCGCTGCACCCCAATGAGGAAGGGTGACGACTGGACACTGATGCTTCGGGACACCATTGAGAGTCTGGGCTGGCAGCAGAGGGGTCACTTTCTGAATGCTCCCAAATAGCCAGGCTGGGTTGGATGGACTTCCTTCAGGCTTCAGACCCCAGGGAGGCTTGCCCTCTGAATTGCTTTGTGCACTTTCTCCTCATTAAGAGTTGTCATTAAGAGAATCTCAGGAGGCTGCTGAGCATGGTCTGGTGCTGGCTTTGCTTTTGTGGCTGCTGTGTTCTCACCATGGTGGTCCTGTGCCCGGTTACTGGAGCTGCTGGGTGTGGGGGTATGGGTGGATGGGGTGTTCCAAATGGTGCAGGAGCATCCCTGCAGCATGTCATCGTTTCAGACCTGCCGATGAAGAGCTTGAGCTCAAGGTGGGCCTCAGCTCCAGGGGTAAGACCCCTGATCCTGAATCTCTGCAGGTGGGGGCTTCTCCATCTATTAACACAGGTCTGAGGTTCACAGTCTCTGAGCCTTGGTTTATCTGGTCTCCAAGCCAGATCCAGAGGTATTCACCTGCCTCGTCAGAGGCTCCCCTCTTGTTAGAAGTGTGGGACTCCCTGGAGTAAAAGTGCACCTTCAGTGTTAGGATGATCACTCTGTGGCTTGTGAGCAGAGACTAGTGGCTACCAAGTGGTGGCAGGGTGCCAGAGGGTGTGCTGCGTCTTCCTGCTGCTCCAGACTTGTCCGGCACTGAGGGGCAACAGAACAGGCAGGGGAACAGGCAGCGTGCATGGTGGTGGTGGACAGAGTCAAGATTTGGTATCACCAAATCAAGGCCATGTGGGAAAGCATGCACCCCAAAGTGCAAACAGAATCAAGTTGCTCTCTTGCTCTTCTATCAGATTCCCCTGTTGTGTTAATCTAAAGCATGTGTCATAGCAGCATTAACCACTAAATAAGGTCCAGATGCCTGCATTTCCTTAGGTACCTCCATAATCATGCTGCCTCAGAGAGGTCACACTGTCTTTTCCTCTGAAAACATGACTCACTTTCTCCCCTCTCCATGCTTTCCACCCTGCCTTTGCCTCTGGGAGACTGTCCTTCTTTGATAAGTCCTGCAGATTGTTTACTGCAGAGTTGTCCTTCATCAGGCCAGATGGGATCAATGGTTCCTGATTCTGGCAGAACTTCAACAGTAGCTTTCCTTCTACCCTGTTTTGTGGTTCCCCACATCAGATATCATCTCCCCATCTCGAAGTTTCTTGAAGACAAGAATCACTGCTTTACACAATGGGCTGAAACTTTTTGGATTTGCCCCTACTGATCAAAATGTTTTTAGAATTTGTTCTCCCAACATGTGGATACTAAATTATATGTAAACTACTACTAAATTATATATAAACTATACTGGCCCTGGGATCTCCTCAAAATGCACACTTCTGGCCACCTTCATAGATGAATCTCTGGGTCTGGGGTGGACATCTGCCATTCTTACAGATTCCCTAAGTCTTCTGTGCACTCTAATTTGGGAAACCCTGGCTGGGGAATTTAAGTGGATAAATAATTTATTAATTGTGAGGTGTACTTCACTTCCACAAGGGCATACTTTATTGCTCCTACAGTTTTCATGATCTAGCCTTGCACTGGGGAATTCAGTAGCTCCTAGCCACATGTGACTCTGAGCACTTGAAATGCAAATAGTGTAACTGAAGAGCTGAATTTTTAATTTTTAAAAATTTTAATTTACGGGCAGCCTGGGTGGCTCAGTGGTTTTGCACTGCCTTCAGCCCAGGGCGTGATCCCCGAGATCCAGGATCGAGTCCCATGTCGGGCTCCCTGCATGGAACCTGCTTCTCCCTCTGCCTGTGTCTCTGCCCCCCCCTCTCTCTCTCTGTGTGTGTGTGTCTCTATGAATAAATAAATAAAATCTTTAAAAAATAAATGTAAAAAAATTTAATTTACATTTAAATTTCAAAACTAATACTTGATTCAGTCATTAAAATCTTTTAAGTAGTTTTGGAAAGATGCAGGTATGTGAATCTGCTTTTTCGCTATAAATTTTATGAAGTTTAAATATAGATACGTATTCCCAATGAAAATTTAGTGTTCTAATTGAAATACACCGTAAGTGTAAAATACATGCTGGACTTCTAAGACTTCGAATGAAAAAAAATCTGAAATATCTCAGTAATAATTTTATATTGATCACAAGTTGAAAGGATATTTTTTGATGTGTTAAATAAAATATATCGCCAACTTTAATTCTGTTTCTTTTCCTTTTACTAGGATGTTTAAAGTTTTATATGTGGCTTGCCTTTGTGGTTCACATTGCATTTCTGTGGACAGCAGTGATCTAGAGTTTAGCATTGGCTTTGGGTCCACATAAACACACTGCAGATTGTTGCGGGTTTAGTTAAATTACTGCATGAATCGAGGGGGAGGGGTTTAGACTAACACAAACATGTGAAGGTCCACACAAGCCCTATGCTCTGGACATGGAGGGGGTGGTGCTTTGGAACATAGGTGAAGCAGGCACGCACACAGGGAGTTTGGGGGGACACTACAGGGCGCTGTTGTTACCATTCTGAGGGCTGTGGGGGAGGGGGGTGTATCCAGCCTCCTTAGCCCCATACCCATGCCCTGAGGTCTAAAGAAGCTGGTCACCCAGGTTGATCTCTGCCTGCCATTCCCACTGCAGAGCATGCCAGCCCCACATCTCTGTGATGCCCAGGGAGAGAACGACTGGAAAATTGGACATTGAAGCATGACATTCAGTACAAAGAGGGAAGGGCAGGAATGCTGGACCCACAGGAGGATGATAGAGCATTCCTAAAAGAATGACAATGACCCTTCCAGGCCAAAGCACTGCGCAGTTGTTGAGACCCTGTAATATCTTCATTAGCAAACATGTTGGAGCCCCAGAGTCTGTTTATCCACTAGGCACTATAGGTCTGATGCTTAGGAGTCACGATACATTTAAAGACCTATGAAAATGTTTTCATTTCTTTTAAAAATCAAAAGAAATAATGAGGGACGTCTGGGTGGCTCAGGGGTTGAGCGTCTGCCTTCAGCCCAGGGCATGATCCTGGAGTCCTGGGATCGAGTCTCACATCGGGCTCCCTGCATGGACCCTGCTTCTCCCTCTGTCTGTGTCTCTGCCTCTCTTTCTCTCTCTCTCTGTGTCTCTCATGAATAAATAAGTAAAATCTTTTAAAAAAAGAAAAGAAACAACGAATACAATCCAGCATGGCTTCTATTCAACATAGTCATACAATAGAATTTTAAACATTTTTTTATGGAGGAAGAGGCCCATGAAAGTGAAAGCACCCAGGGCCCACAGAAGTCATTACGTGGGCCTAAAAGTACGTGCTACACACCAGAGAATGCTTTGCCATGTAACTAATTGAATCCTGAAAACCTGTGATTTAAGTCTTCCTATTATCTGCATTTTGCAGGTAAAGAAACTGAGGCAGAGATGAGTACCTAGGTGGCTGGGGTGGCACCACTAAGGGGCAGAGAGGCTAAGACTTGAACCCAGATACTGTGGTTTCAAGTTCAATGTATAGTTTCCTTCACACTGTCTTCTGTAGCTGCTCTGTAGTCCACCACTTCCCATCCTTCCCCGGGCTGTAGCCCTGCTTCTGGATTCTTCTCTGCCCTCTCCTCCATGGATGGATGTGGGAACATGGTTTTGTGTCTCTGAGAGGCCCGCCAGGGGCTGCTGTGGCCCAGGTTTGTGGGTCTCCCAATTGGCACTGGCACTGGCCCCCAGGGCCCACTGCGGGCTGCCCTGAGCTGCAAGCTACCATATCTTTTGCTACCATATTTCTGAGGGCCTCAGGGGAGTGTTGAGATCATAGGGGTCACAAAAATCCCCGCCCTTTGGATGGTTCAGAGACCTAAGTGGTCACCATACCTGGAGGAAGGGACCCAGAATGAGCCACTAGACACAGTGCAAATAGATGGGAAACATGAACTGCATCTGGCCATGGGGAATCTTGGAGGCAAGTAGAAGAGCAGGGCAGGCATGAGAGAAAATCAAAGAAGCACCTGCACCATGAACATACAAGCAGCCTAGCTGTCCTCACATGGACACACACACACACACACACACACAGACCTGCATGCACTCATTAACATCTACACGCCCATACACACCTGCGCATACATCTACACACACCCACACACATCTACACACCCATATACTTACACACCCTACATACCCATACACACACCCACACATATCTACACAGCCATACACACCTGCACACACACATACATCTACATACCCATACACATCTGCACACACATACATCTACACACCAGTGTGCGCACACACATCTACATACCCATACATGCCTACACGCACACATACATCTACACACACATATATCTCACTGGCCCCAGACAGAGTTAGAATGGGCTGTGCTTCCTGAGAGCACCATGTACTGGCCATGTGATCACAAGCCACATCACCTTCGTGAGCCTCAGGCTCCTTGTTGGCTAATTCCAGTCCTTACCTGGCTGGTTTGTTTTGAGGATTACATGAGATAATGTATTCCCAAGTGCTAGGTAAATGCGAAAATGCTGCACAAATAGTTCTTCTTATTAACACAATTATAGTCTGCACTGAACAATTTAGTACTTTTAAACTATCTTGTATTTTTTACTAATTGCTTTGTGAATTAGTCTTATCTTGCCTACAAGACTGCCTCTTCCTCAAGGACCCAGTTGGTCTGCGGCCCCACAGTGCTGGCACAGCTCTGGGCACAGGGTTGGAGGTGCCTCGCCCAGCCAATGTGCCTGGCAACAGGCTCTGTGGGGCTCGTTTGGGGGGTTCAATGGGATGGATTGGCCAGTGGTGGCTCTGCTAGCTTGTTAACAAGCCTTGCTGATTTGCAACGACGATGGGGATGGAATGATGACCTTTATTGAGCATTAGTGACTGGCTGAGCCCTTGGTGAAGCACTTCCCAGACATGGACTCCTCTAACAGTCATGAGGACTATCTGAGAAAGGACTATTGATCTCCATTTTAGAGATGAGGAAATGAAACTCAGAGAGGTTAAGCCATTTGCTGAAGGCCACCCCAGCCAGTGAGTGGTGGAGGAGAGATGCGAGGCTGAGTGTAGGGTCTGTGAGCTTGAATGTCGTGCTAGCCTAGAAGAGGCACTTTGGGCCAGATGGCCTCTGGGTTCTCTTGAAATCAGGATCTACGGTCATCCGAAGGTTAGATGGGGAGATGGCTGAGTCTGAGAAAGCCAGGTGCTCTGGGGAGGAGCAGGGAGCCAGAACTTTTGCTGGGGGCTTGCCCCTGGCTTGGGTTCCCACTTGGAGCTGGGGTCCTCACTGGGGAAGGCTGGGAGCAAGAGTCTGCTGAGTGGGGTGGGTGTTGTCTTGGGAGGCAAGTGGCGTGACAGAAGATCTGAGAGGCTTTTCAGTGGCGGACAGGGAGGCCCTGCTGGGTGGGCCCACTGGGAAGACCCAGATGGGGGGAGTTGGGGAGACTTTGTTGAGTTTTCTGTGTCCCCAAATAAACAAAGGGTGAGCAACATGAGGAGGGCTGGGCCATTAACCTCCTAAAGGGGGAGAGGGATGATTTCTCTGTCCTGCTCAAGAAAGCTTCTCCCCAGATCCACCTTTAAGCCTACCAGGTGCTGGGCCCTGTGTTGGGTTCCCAGGGAGAGAGAAAGGGTAGGAAAAGATAGGGCTGGGGTTAACTTATGTAGAAGGATAAAAGCTTGTGACAACACCCAGGCCCCAAGGCTGTGAGTGACCAGCTCTTGAATGCAGGAGCCCGGCAGCCCTCCTGTGGCCCCCTCTTCCCCATCCAGCTCCAGCACTGACCCACAGTGTTGCAGTGATTGGTTTAGGGGCCTGCTCCCCGAATACTTAAACATTTCTGCAAGACTGCTGTCCAATACCCACCCCATCAAACAAGACCTAGCCCCCAAACTTAGCCCTCCTGAGTATGGCCTCAGTGAGTGGCTGACTAGAACAGAACTGGCAGGAGGGCTGCAGACCCAGAAAAGGAAAGATGATGGCAGGGAGAGGGAGTGGTTGGAGAGAAGAAGGCTGGGTTGAGTGTCCAGGGGTTTCTTAGGGGCCGAGGTGGTCCTCCTAGATTCAGAACTGTTTCCTTCTCCTCCTCAATAGTTTGGTCATCACATAGATCTAAGAAGGCAGAGGGACCTCTTTCTTCTGAATGAATGATCAGGAGCTAAGTAACCAAGGCCAACTGTAACAAGTACAAAACTAAGAACCCAAGCAAAACTCTGGGTCCTTCCACGCAGGGTGAAACCACTAGAGCCTTCCTCTGGTGTGGCTTCTAAGAGGATCCACAGAGTGTCACCTCTCCCACTTCCTATTCAACTCCTCGGCCACCTGGATCACAGTCTTCCTTTACCTTCCTTATCCAAGCCAAATCCCCAAGCGGAGACAGTGCTTGCTTATAGAATGGATTCAGTTTAGGTCTTGAGGGATCAGAACGGTGAGGGCTCAGCTCTGTACAATGCTCCTGCAAATAAAGGTCACTTTTGCCCTCCTTTCCCCCAATCTCTGGACAAAAAAAAATCCCTCCAAATTCTCCAAGCCCAGGAGGAGCCAGCCAGTGATTCACATGGCCGGCAGAGGGCAGCAGAACACACCCCAAGGCCCTCTCCCTCCAAGTTGACGGACTCCAGCCCCATCCCCACCCCCTATAGGCAGGTAGGTCTGACTTTGTTCTCTAGGAATTAAAACCCTGAAGGTCTGAGAGGGGGTGGCGGCAGTTTCTTTAGTCCATTCTCAGATTTAATACTGGGACCTCCTTCCTTTAAAAATAATAAAAATATATATCACAGATGCTTCCAATGTTGTCTTAAGTAGTTTTTGTTTTGTAATAACGCTACTCAAACATGTACAAACATAAAACTACTTGTGAACTCCTTATACTGATAACTCTCATACAAAGATAAACAGAAATAAAAATTCAAATTAAACGAGAACAAATCTACAAATGCAATCAAAGTTCAAAGTCATCTCATGAATGATAAATCACAAAATCACATGCCACACTCAAACCTCCAGAGCCCCAGAACTAGGGCACTGAAGTCTGCAGGCAGGGTTTTCGTTGTTGTCCTCGTGGGTTTAGCTGATTTGTCCCCTGTTTGTGATGGAGTAATTTCATTCTCCCTTCCCTCTTCCTTTCAAATCACAGGGAAACATCCCAAGCACAGCACGTTGTGATGCCATAGGACCTTTGCTTGGCACCAACTCACCAGG